CTCAGGAAAATTGAACCTGTTTGAAAATTGAACCATGATGGTATCGTAACAACAAATTATTGGTACCGATCGCGAAATCCCGTTGAGACCAATCCACTGGTGTTTTCCGCTGGACTTAATTTGTCTTAGTTTAGAAACGACAGAAAGGGGATGTCGCATCGACCCCGCTATTAGTCCACTTACGGAAAACGGCGAATCAGGGTGGGGTTTTTAAATCACTTGCGTTCTCTATTTCATGTCATCAGCCATTTTCACGTGCAATGAGTACGCACGTAATAAACTAACAACCTTAGGTTATAGGATTGTAGTTCTCTGTTCAGTGGGAACCCACAGCACTTGGACTTCAGCCTCCTCAACTTTCCGAAAAAGTGAGCAAATCTGCGGAAAATTCGCGTCAAGAGATGAGCGCTCATCCTCAAGAGATATGGTCTTGAGAATGGGGGCAGCTCGCAGCATTGAATTCCGTTAATGTAATCGCCGTGTAGCACCACAACGCCGTTTAATCAGTACCTTCATGTATATTGAGCGTGATTATCTCAGCGTGGCAACTTTGAGCCCATAATACTGAAAATAAACGGGAACTGCAAGCCTTTCTTTCTTGTATCAAATCTTAATTACGACCGCAGAGCTAAGTGGAGAAAATCCGTGAAGAAATACATCTCGGGAAAAAGATGAGCAAGGTCAGCGTGTTCGGTCCCCCCCCGATGAAAACGTTAAATCCCCCCTCCCCCCGGTGGAAAGTGGCCTTTTGCGACCTATGTTGCATCCACTACCAGTGACGTTATATTATCAGCTAATGCTCCACGAGCTTCATTTGGCATAAGTGGATCTGTATAAACTATTTGCTGTTGATGTCATTCACTCAGTAATCCGTAATAGCACTCTTCATTCAGCACGACATTACTTGGGCTTCTCCGTAGTCTGCCGTTGGCCATGTAGGAAAGAAAATGCCGAAAATGCCGAAAAGTGTACCTGGTTTTGAAGCAATACGATACTATTATCAGTGACGTCACAACATCAGCCGGTGCGTCACGGCCCGTATTCAGCACGATAGTACACACACCTTGCAGCCAGCTTTGCTCTCCCATCAGTCGGCGGTGTGGGTACCGAATGGGGAGAGAGCTGGGAATGGTAGCGCACCACCGTCCGCCCACTATTTTTGCGTCCTGTTTTTTTATCTGATGCGTCATTTGATTTTCTTTGAATCTGAACTGAAGCTGAGAAAACCGCTATCTGTACTTCATTGAATGTGGTCTGTTTGGTCATGTTAAATTTTGGTATACAAGATAAACTTTCAAGAAAGGATGCTGTTTGGAATACCAATTGCCCGCTCCCACCTCGATGGTGTTTTTTCAAATAAAATGCAAAGAAATTATGAGGCACTGATATTTTTTTCCAGCCCTCAAGCCATTTTGAATTTTGGATATGCTGTGATATTTTAACAGGTAATGGCAGTATAGGAATTTGACCAAAGTACCTCTGTTTGACAAAAAATTGTATTAGCAAAGGTCATGAAGCATAATGAGGCATGTCTCACCTCAGCATCCTTTTGTTGTTTGGACTAAATCTAGGGTGTTTTTCAGATTAAGATGAATTTGGCTTTGCTCCCTGTTTGCAAAGTGTAGATGTCCAGGGATTTGGTTTTCTAGATATTAGATCTATTGGGGGTGTTTTGGACATTCCATGACACTTTTGACATTCCTGTACTGGTGTTGTGGTGCTGCATAACATGTTGGCAGTGTCATACGGGTTGAGATGATGCATCATGTTTTGATTATTTTTGCCTCCGTGTGCCCTCAAGAAGTTGCATACGTGCAGTTTTATTTGGGTTGGGTTGTCAGTCAGGCATTTTATTATATTCTTAGATATATTATATTTGTAGTCCTGTGATATTGTATGCATGAATAATGATGTGCCACTTTCTTCCTCTTCATTTGTGTTATGCATCACCTTGGACTTAATCATGTTGAAATGATACTACTGGCCTTATAGTACCTCAGAATTAAAATTTGTTTCATCTCACATGTGATAAAAAGCTTCATGTGTTCTGTGAAAATATGTGGTTATAGTTTTACATTTATCACCTGTTCAAAATGTGTGCTCATGGGGACAAATGAAATAATGCCAATAGCCCATTTCTGGAAAAAATGTTGGTTGCAGCTTTTTTCCTTATGATGCAAGACACCTCCATTCAGTAGTGATTTGTGTTTGTGTGATTATTTCTGTGTGGAATGATTAATTTATTAATGTTTATGCTCACAACACATGATGTATTTTATACCTACATAATGTATATCAAGTGCAGAGTACAAAATTGTATTATATTATTAACATCAGAAAGAGCTAGTTGTTCTGAATTTGCTGCTGTAATTTTTGAAATAGCACTTAGTGGTTCTCCTGTAAGAAATGTCAGTTTGTGGCATGGAAACCATCCTGCACTGTTACAAGACAAAATTACTGATGTTGTCATGTCACACACCACTTTAATTACGGCTGGGTCCAAGAGGCTATGCGCCCTAAACCAACAACAATAACAACACCACTTTAATATAATTCTAGCATGTGGTTATGATATAACACACTGTTTTTTGCACTCATCTAGATGAACACATTGGTATGAAATGTATGGTAATACTTGTAATATTTTCCAGTGATATAAGGTGTGTCAATCATTGTAAATTTGTGCCAGATGCATATCATTTTCATGATCCTTTGAACACCCATGAGTTATTGATAATGTAATGCTTTATTGCCCTAGTATTAGAGGCATATGTACAGGCCATATCTGTCTAGCTGCTGTCTTACCCATTTACTCAGTATGTTTTCATAGTTGGCATATCTCCCCTTTGTCTATGACTGTATTGGTGGTAGAATTGCAAAACATGATCTTTAGGCTGTAAACATGAAGCTACATGAAATAATGTTCAGAAAACATCAAGCAGTGAGTAATAGTTGCCCTTTTAACAACATTCCATTCAAAAGCAATAGACATCTGTAACCTGTGTGACACCAATGCAAATTGTAAGAAAACTTATTCTTTTTGCTCACTATTGCAACTTATTCACACATGTTTTATCTTTTCAGAGGTGTGTTGCATAGCATGATGAGGTGAAGTTGCCAGCCATGCTGAGTGATACTGAGCTGAGAACTGAGCTGCTGCGTCTGGGCCACAATGCAGGCCCGATCACGGTGGCCACCAGATCCACCTACCTGAAGAAACTGAAGAAATTGCAGGAGAAAAATGGTGCTCCTCCAAATGGATATGATGAGGTGAAGTGACCAGCCTTTGGGTAATGCGTGCGTGATAGTGGGTTCTCAGTGCCATTTGAATTCACAGCACTATAACTGTCCAGTGCATTCATGGGCACTTTTGTATTCGATTTGCTGTCTCTAGATGGTATATTTAATATGCTCACTGATAAGGTTTTAGACCGGCAGACCTCCATATTTGTATGCGCCTGAAACAGACCTTTTTCCATCCATATCGAGTATGTGACTTCAATGTCGCCCCGCTTCAGCGGTCTTCCCGTGTGTGACGGCCATCCTCTGCTCCTGCAGCAGGAGTCGGAGCCGGAGCCGGAGCCGGAGCCGAAGCCGGAGCCGAAGCGGAAGCGGGAGTCGAAGCGGGCGGACGGACCGACCAACGGACACGAGCCGGACGAGCCGAACGACACCGAGCTGCGCGCCCAGCTGCTGCGGCTGGGCCACAGCCCGGGTCCCATCACGCCCGCCACCCGCCAGGTCTACCTGAACAAGCTGGCCAAGCTTCAGGCGGCGGCCAGCAACGGCTATGGCCGGGACCGGCCGGCCGGCGGACGACGGCGCGCCCCTCCCGCCCGGGCCCCCGCAGCGCCGCCGCCGGCCGACCAGGCGGACGAGCCCTCGCAGCCGATGGACGAGTCTGAAGATTCGGAGATGGACGAGTCGCGCCCACCTCTCACTCGGCACACGTACGGCTGGGACCCGCTGTATGTTCAGCTGCCCACACAAGCGTCCACCTACGAGCCGCACGCGTGGTCTTCTCGGCATCAGCCCGAGGCCTCGTCCTCCGCGTACCAATCGGAAACTGGGTCGTCTCGGTACCAGTTGGATACTGGGTCGTCTCCGTACACGGCGGATGCTGGGTCGTCTCGGTACACGACGGATGCTGGTTCGTCTCGGTACACGACAGATGCTGGGTCGTCTCGGTACGCGCCGGATACTGGGTCGTCTCGGTACACGACGGATGCTGGGTCGTCTCGGTACACGATGGATACGGGGTCGTCTCGGTACACGACGGATACTGGGTCGTCTCGGTACATGACGGATGCTGGGTCGTCTCGGTACGCGCTGGATACTGGGTCGTCTCGGTACACGACGGATGCTGGGTCGTCTCGGTACACGACGGATGCTGTGTCGTCTCGTTACACGACGGATGCTGTGTCGTCTCGGTACCAGCCGGATACTGGATCGTCTCGGTACCAGTCGGATACTGGGTTCTCCGAACCATCCGGTGGCAGCTCGCTGTACCTGCCTCGTTTGTCGGCCAGCGCGCTCCGGTCTCATGCGCCGACGCCACCCGCTCCCACTCCAGCGTCGCGCTACGAACCGGACAGCCACGGCGCCAGCCTGAGCTTCCGCGCCTCGCCTCGGGCGTCGTACAGATATGCCGACGGTGCGGGTGTGCCGGCCGCCCGACCTTCCGCGTACAGCTTCGGCGCCGGGTTCGCGCCGGCCGCGCGGGCCTTTCCACACGAGGCGGACGGGGTGCGGCAGCCGGAGCCGGCGCCTGCTCGTACCACCTCGCTGCGTCAGCGCGTGGCTGACTGGTGCCGGCAGACGCCGCCGGCGCGCCCGGCCGCCGCCGACTACGACACGGGCTCGGACAGCGAGCGCGAGGAGCCGGACGAGGCGGAGCCGGCGCTGACGCCCAGCCAACAGTTGCACGCCTTCCGCAGCCGAATGAGCGCGCTGGGCCGGGCGGCCGGTGGCGGCGCGCAGGCGGAGCGCGGCGCCGGCTTCCGCGCCGAGCCAGGCCCGGCCGCCTCGCACCTGGTGCCCTTGTGCATCCTGCTGCTGGCGCTGCTCTTCTTCGGCATGCTGGGGCTGTCGTATTTGCGGTTGGCCCGCTCCGACGAGACGAACGGCAGCCGGCCGCCGCTGGAGACCGCGCTCAACGACGCCGGCTCCGGTGAGTCGGCCGCCCGCACCGACTGGACTGTGTCGTACTAGGCGGTGCCGTTGTAGGCCTAATGGGTTTATTACGAACCCGATATACGAATATATACGAACGAATCCTGTGTGGGAAGGAAGCCACACGTTCCTCTTGCGTGTGCCCTGATCTAGCCTAATGCTGTGGAAGGACGGCCCGCCGGCGGAGTTGCGTCACTGAGCAGGGGAGGAGGCAGACGCGGCGTCAATCACAGGGGTACTGTGCGCGTGCGTAGACTTTTTTACTTTTTACTTTTTACTTTTTTAGACTTACTTTTTTACCCGTTAGCGAACTTGCGTAGCCGAACCATTTCTACTGTATCAGGTTTATTGTCTGCTCCTTGTTTGCCTTCAGCGAGACGTGATTTTTTCTGGTGTGTGTACCTGAAAACGACAGTTGTAAGTTAAAACTTCCTTACGGGATTAACAGACATGTCTGGCGTTCTGTGCTTCCTCACGGAGGTACGGAGAGGTATCTACGACCTGACGTTCTCGTCCGTGCATTGACGGCGTTGTCGCAGGGGACAGACGTGCTGCCCCAGGTCTCTGGGTCTATTCTGTAGATCACTCATCTTTGACGTATTGTCCGGCACTGCGAGTACACGGCGGCCGCGCCTGGCACGCCCCACGCCCCTTGTACCGTCCGCTGGCCGTCTGAACCTCTTTTGGCGCTATCTGTGACCTCTGTGGGCTGTGTGTCCGGCCGGTGCGCGCCGTATCCATCGTGACGCCCGGCAACGTGCTGGGCAGTGGGAAACTCATCGCCATCATTGCGGGCAGTGGTCACGTTCCCGATCTGCGGCAACGAGGACGTGGATCTGGAACTGGGCTGTGTGAAGCGGGAGCGGCTGGAGGCGGCCGTGGTGCTGCTGGCGTCCGTGCAGCCGGCGGTGGTGGCGACGGCGCGGGACGCCCTCTGCGGCCGGCGCGAGCACGCCGCCGTGCCGCTCTCGGAGCTGGCCGAGATCACCGACACCGACGACCTGGTGAGAGGCGCACTGGCTCGGGACCGGCGGCCGGGCGCCTGGCTCGGCTAGCCGCTGGCTCAGGACCGACGTCTGGTCGCCCCACTCGGCAAGCCGCTGGCTCGGGGCCGGCGGCCGGGCGCCGGGCGCGACTAGTCGTTTGCTCGGGACCGGCAGCCGGGCGCCGGGCTCAGCTAGCTGCTGGCTCGACTAGCCGCTGGCTCGGCTGGCCGCTGGCTCGGCTAGCCGTTATCTCAGGACCGGCGCCCGGCTCGGCTAACTGCTGGCTCGGCTAGCTGCTGACTCGGCTAGCCGCTGACTCGGGACCGGCGGCCGGGCGCCCGGCTCGGCTAGCCGCTGACTCGGCAAGCCGCTGACTCGGGACCGGCCTCCGGGCGCCCGGCTCGGCTAGCCGTTATCTCAGGACCGGCGCCCGGCTCAGCTAGCCGCAGCCCTCGCCGACAACGGGAGCGGGCGAGTGTTACGGTAATGGTGACGTGGCGCTGGGATCACAGGCCTGGGCTGCTGTACACTCAACTCGACGGAAGGTGAACGCCATGATGCTGTTTGTAGTGCAGTGTACGGTACACTGGCCGGTGGCCCATGTTGAGATACTGGTTGCAAGTTGCGGTGCAGCACAGTGTGAACGACGGATTTATGATGTAATTCACGTGTGGTTACATATCTCCACCGAAGACTGTGTTACACTGACGCGGACTGTGTGTTATGCCGTGTTGATGCCCCACATGATGCGCTAATGATGAGCCATACGCCGCGAATGGTGCAGTGCGCATGTCCGGCCGATCTCGGGCGGAACCTGTGCTGCCCGCGCTGGCTGTGGCCTATGTTGCGGCGCTGTGTTGGCCGCCGCGCAGTGTGCGGACCTCGGCCTGAGGCTCGCCCCGCTGCCGGCAGGACCGGCTCCGCGACGTGGCCACGGTGGTGGCCTACAACAAGGAGCTGGGTCTGCGCGCTGACCTGGCGGCCGCCGAGATCAGCCTGACCGCCGTGGGCGTCACCAAGCCCTGGCTCTGTCTGCTGGTCGAGGCGGCGCGGCTGCTTGCCAAGTGGACCTTCACGCTGACGGCCGGTCAGTGGCAGCGGCGCGGCGGCGACGCCGCGCTCACGCCGCGCCTTGTCGACAGGCGTCGGCTGCGCATGGATACCTCCGTGGCCGTTGTAGTCAGGGACTGCGGGCCACGTATGGGGCGCAGGGAACTGCGTAGCGGATGGAGTGGAAGTGGGGTTGGTGGGGGCTGACTGGTCGTGTGTTATGCGGTATACAGGGCTTCTAGATCACTTCCACTTACATATTTCAAGGAAGTGGCCGGGCGCTCTGGCTCTCTCCGGTGTCCGTGTTTCAGTGGTGGCCGCTGCGATGGTGTATGGCGCCTCTGACCCTCTCCGGTGTCCGTGTTTCAGTGGTGGCCGTTGCGATGGTGTATGGCGCCTCTGACCCTCTCCGGCGTCCGTGTTTCAGTGGTGGCCGCTGCGATGGTGTATGGCGCCTCTGACCCTCTCCGGTGTCCGTGTTTCGGTGCTGGTCGGCGCGATGGTGGTTTTTGGCACCTCTGACCCTCTCCGGTGTCCGTGTTTCATGGTGGCCGGTGTGGTGGTGGTTTTTGGCACCTCTAACCCTCTCCGGTGTCCGTGTTTCAGTGGTAGCCGGTGCGGTGGTGGTGTTTGGCACCTCTGACCCTCTCCGGTGTCCGTGTTTCAGTGGTGGCCGGTGCAGTGGTGGTGTCTGGCACCTCTGACCCTCTCCGGTGTCCGTGTTTTGGTGGTGGCCGGTGCGGTGGTGGTGTTTGGCACCTCTGACCCTCTCCGGTGTCCGTGTTTCGGTGGTGGCCGGTGCAGTGGTGGTGTCTGGCACCTCTGACCCTCTCCGGTGTCCGTGTTTCAGTGGTGGTCGGTGCGGTGGCGCTGCGAACCGGACTGGCCTGGCGACGGCGACGCCTGCAGCGCCAGCAGCAGGAACTCTGCGACATGGTCGACAGGATCGTGGACGTGGTTCGGCGTCACGCCCTCTCGCCGGGTGGCGCCGACGAGGCAGGTTCCGGCCCCATTCACTGAGAAGGATAACAGGCGGAAGAGGGTCGGAACAGGGAGTAGCGTGGGATCCACGCTGGATATTGTACTTGCGAGCGTGCTGATCCACATCGCGTCTGCATGGTGTCGGCCAATCTTGAACTTCCCCTAAGCACTTGTGTGTTTTGGTGTATGTGATTTGGTGCTTAGCCATCCAGTGATATAAGCATACTGATGTAAAACCCTGCCTTGAACGGTTTTCTCTCCTCAAAAAGTATTCTGTGTGAGTGCAGCGGCGGCGGCGCGCCCGCCGGGGTCACGCTGCTGTCCGTCTTAGCGGCCCCACCCGTCCGCAGGCGTTCGTGCCGGAGAATCACGTGCGGGACGAGCTGCTGACGCCGGCGGAGCGCTCGAACCGCGGCCAGATGGCGCTCTGGCAGCGCGCTGTGCAGCACATCCGCGATGGGGAGGGCCGGGTCAGTGGACGCGACGGCCGCGGGTCGGCTGCTGGCTGCCTGCTGCCTGCTGACTCCGCCCCCGCTGTGTTCTTGTGCTGACTCCGCCCCGTCTGGCAGGGTGTGGCGGGGCCAGAACGCCGGCCCATACGGGGTTCGGTGCGGGAGGAGTGTTTTGACCGGAAGAGTGTGTGCGATGCTGTCGGCAGGCACCTGAATGTGTAGTGGTGGCCGTGGTGATGTTGGAACTCCTCTCCATGTGGCCAGGTTTGGGAGCGTGTACTGGTGGCCGTGATGATGTTGTGACCCCCCACGTGACCAGGTGTGGGAGTGTGTACTGGTGGTCGTGGTGATGTTGGGACTCCTCCCCCTGTGGCGAGCTGCAGTGGTGTGTACTGGTGGCCGTGGTGATGTCGGGACTCCTCCCCATGTGGCCGGGTGTGGGAGTGTGTACTGGTGGTCGTGGTGATGTCGGGACTCCTCCCCATGTGGCCGGGTGTGGGAGTGTGTACTGGTGGCCGTGGTGATGTTGGAACTCCTCACGTGACCAGGTGTGGGAGTGTGTACTGGTGGCCGTGGTGATGTTGGGACTCCTCCCCCTGTGGCGAGGTGCAGGGGAGTGTACTGGTGGCCGTGGTGATGTTGGGACTCCTCCCCCTGTGGCGAGGTGCAGGGGTGTGTACTGGTGGCCGTGGTGATGTTGGGACTCCTCCCCCTGTGGCGAGGTGCAGGGGAGTGTACTGGTGGACGTGGTGATGTTGGGACTCCTCCCCCTGTGGCGAGGTGCAGGGGGTGTGTACTGGTGGTCGTGGTGATGTTGGGACTCCTCCCCCTGTGGCGAGGTGCAGGGGTGTGTACTGGTGGTCGTGGTGACGTTGGGACTCCTCCCCCTGTGGCGAGGTGCAGGGGAGTGTACTGGTGGCCGTGGTGATGTTGGGACTCCTCCCCCTGTGGCGAGGTGCAGGGGTGTGTACTGGTAGCCGTGGTGATGTTGGGACTCCTCACGTGACCAGGTGTGGGAGTGTGTACTGGTGGCCGTGGTGATGTTGGGACTCCTCCCCCTGTGGCGAGGTGCAGGGGTGTGTACTGGTGGTCGTGGTGACGTTGGGACTCCTCCCCCTGTGGCGAGGTGCAGGGGAGTGTACGGGTGGCCGTGGTGATGTTGGGACTCCTCCCCCTGTGGCGAGGTGCAGGGGAGTGTACTGGTGGCCGTGGTGATGTTGGGACTCCTCCCCCTGTGGCGAGGTGCAGGGGTGTGTACTGGTGGTCGTGGTGACGTTGGGACTCCTCCCCCTGTGGCGAGGTGCAGGGGAGTGTACTGGTGGCCGTGGTGATGTTGGGACTCCTCCCCCTGTGGCGAGGTGCAGGGGTGTGTACTGGTGGCCGTGGTGATGTCGGGACTCCTCCCCCTGTGGCGAGGTGCAGGGGTGTGTACTGGTGGTCGTGGTGATGTTGGGACTCCTCCCCCTGTGGCGAGGTGCAGGGGTGTGTACTGGTGGCCGTGGTGATGTTGGGACTCCTCCCCCTGTGGCGAGGTGCAGGGGTGTGTACTGGTGGCCGTGGTGATGTCGGGACTCCTCCCCCTGTGGCGAGGTGCAGGGGTGTGTACTGGTGGTCGTGGTGATGTTGGGACTCCTCCCCCTGTGGCGAGGTGCAGGGGAGTGTACTGGTGGCCGTGGTGATGTTGGGACTCCTCCCCCTGTGGCGAGGTGCAGGGGTGTGTACTGGTGGCCGTGGTGATGCTGTGACTCCTCCCCATGTGGCCAGGTGTGGCCACGCCGGTAGGCCTGAGCGCGTCGGCCGTTGCGAGCCAAATGAACACCAATGGTGCGCGGCGATGACCGGAGCGCGGCAGCTCTGTTACCACCGCCTGGGCGGGCGTCCGCGCGAGCGGTCCACGCAGGGGCGACCCACGGTGTCCGAACTGCGGACACCGCGGGTCGTCCCAGCGCTCGGCCGGGCCCGGCGGCCTGCGCGATTGGCCGTGCCTTTGTGTGTCGGCCCGTTGCGACCGCACCACACTGCTCATTCCGGCCGCGGCAGTGCCCTGGACGGGGTCATGTATTTACGACCACCACGCGATAAGTCCCAACAGGCCCAACGGGAGTCACTTCCACCACCTGTGGCGTGGTGGAAGTGACCTGTGCGAGCAGTGAACTTGGGCCGGTGTGGATCTACACGTGTTGGCCGTGTTGACATCCTGGAGATCGTCCGGCATTCCGCCGGCCCTGAGCTCGCTTCTTCCCGCCGCGCTGCCCTGGTCGTCCCAGCCAGTTGCTGTCTATGCGGCGAATGTCACTGGTACCGCTGCTGCTGCTGCGCCGCTTTGGTCGTCCTGGCCAGCTGCTGTCAAGGCGGCGAATGTCACTGGTACCGCTGCTGCTGCTGCGCCGCTTTGGTCGTCCTGGCCAGCTGCTGTCAAGGCGGCGAATGTCACTGGTACCGCTTCTGCTGCTGCGCCGCTTTGGTCGTCCTAGCCAGCTGCTGTCGAGGCGGCGAATGCCACTGGTACCAGTGCTGCTGTAAGAACTGTCTAGCTCACCAGCACCAGGCCGGATGGCAGGACCGCCTGTGCGCCGATGCCAGCGGTCTGCAGGCCTGCTGCTCGACTGCGGCGCCCGGTCTGGCCCGGCCAGCTCGGCCGCGGCGCCGGCCGTTTAGGGGACTCTCACTTCAGATGGGCATTGCCGGCAAGATCTTAGTCTGAAGCGTGGTTCATGGCAACAGATGGCCATGGAGATGCCTGCTATTTTCTTGCATCTGTGAAGGGAGGGCCATCGTCCACTTCAGCCCGAGGAATCCGGATTTTTTTCGGTGTGCGCGATCATGACGCAGAACACTGAATTTTCAGCGCCTGGCCGGGGCGCGCTCCGGTCTTCCTCACTACACACCAATATTTGAGCAAGAGAATGCTGTTCTGTTTGTACGCATGCAAAGTGAAGCACCTCGAAACGACCCCTAAGTCGTCCTGCAAAATGCCCTCAACGATGGACAAGGCAGATCATGCCATCAAGCCACCAGTCCCCTGCTGTCCGCGTGGCCAGCAGACACGCCACTCAGGTACCGTGAGCTGCAGGAAAGGTCTGCTCTGTGTGCTGCCCGCACAGGTCCGGCTGGCGGCCTGACTCGAGTTCCAGTGCCCTGAACAGGGCCATCATAGAGACCCGACGGTCGAAGGTCGCCTCACCAACATCTCCATCCAGCGGCTGCGCCGACTTCTGAAGCGAAGCGACCCGCCGCCCGTGCGGGGTGCAGAGAAGGCGCGAGCCGCGCGGCCGTCGGCGGGAGTGTCGCGTGCAGCGCCAGGGCCACGCGTTTGTCACCGAGACTCCGAGACCGCCGGGCGCCGGCCTGACCGCCGAGAGGCCGTCCAACGGATACGTCACCGTCGCCGCGGCCCCAGCAGCTCGCGGTCGGAACCCGCCCGGCCTTTGTCTGACGCGTCAACGCATGTGACGCGGGCGAGGATTCGCGCGATGACTGATGGTGACGACCCGCACGGCCGGCCAGCATGCGTCTCACGGACCGCGCCGAGCATCGGGAGCTGCATACGGCGGACTAGCATGCGTCTCACGGACCGCGCCGAGCATCGGGAGCTGCATACGTCCGGCCAACGTGCGTCTCATGGACCGCGCCGAACGCCGGGAGCTGCATACGTCCGGCCAACATGCGTCTCGCGGACCGCGCCGAGCATCGGGAGCTGCATACAGTCCGGCCAACGTGCGTCTCACGGACTGCGCCGAACGCCGGGAGCTGCATACGTCCGGCCAACATGCGTCTCACGGACCGCGCCGAGCATCGGGAGCTGCATACGTCCGGCCAACGTGCGTCTCATGGACCGCGCCGAACGCCGGGAGCTGCGCACGGAGGACCAGCATGCGCCTCACGGACCGCGCCGAACACCGGGAGCTGCGCACGGAGGACCAGCATGCGTCTCACGGACCGCGCGTCGGGAGCTGCGCACGGCCGGCCAGCATGCGTCTCACGGACCGCGCCGAGCACCGGGAGCTGCGCACGGCGGACCAGCGTGCGTCTCACGGACCGCGCCGAACATAGGAGCTGCACTTCAGCATTCCGAACAGGAAGGCTCACCGGCGCGTCTGTGTTGTGGGAGGGGGTAGGGCTCCTGCGCTTCGTCTGCCCGAGCGCGCTCGGCGCCTGGCGGCCAGACTGACAGAGTTCGCAACGGACAGTCCCATCTGGCGTGACAGTGACAGTCGGTGGTGTGATGCGCCACTGTGATGTGTCCACTCTCTCTCGGCGTCATCTCTGTTGTGTACGCGTGCTAGCGTTAAGCAATCTCATTAAACCGGAGCAGCTAGTTGAACACCGCCCGCGCGCGACGATGGTGCTCAGCTAGTCAACAAGTGGTAGGAACGCTGGTGCAGACGTCCGCACAGGGGCTGCGCCCAGGCGGCGACAATAGCGGTGCGCTCCGACCCGGGCGCGCCTCTGTGCGAGCGTGCCGTGGCGTCCAGGCCGCGGTGGCCGCCCGCAATCGGCCGTGTCGCTGTTATCTGCCGCTCCTGCCGCCGGCGCTGGGCGCGCCCGTGTGCCGGAGGCGACGCCGCGGGCGAGATCTGACCGGGGCGCCCGGCCCGGTCACGGCCGCCGCCTAGGAGGGGTGACCGCGGAGTGTTCGGGTGTGTGAGTACCTGCGCACGGCGGGGCTGCAGTCATACTGTGAGAAGTGAGCATCGACTGGCATTTGATCTACACGTGTCGGTCACATTGATAGTGTTGTGACCGCTCTTCCTGTGTGGCCAGGTGCGTGAGGAGTGTGTGCTGGTGGCCGGCGAGTCGCACCTGGTGTGGCGCTGGATGCCGGGTAGCGCGGCGAAGGCGGCCGGCGGCCCGGGTCGGCGCCGCATCTGGCTCGGCCAGGCCTTCCAGACCAGCAGCGGCGTGAACACGCCCGTGCACACGCGCACCTCCTGCCTCAAGATCCGGCACATGTTCGACACCAGCTGGTCAGTATGCCGCCGGCGCCTCCCGTTCGTATCCCCCCCCCGCGCCTCTGTAGATATCCCGCTTCGACGTCTCGTAGTCAGCTTCTGTCGTCACGAATGCGGCGAGGGTGAAAAGTGAATTGCCCCGATTGTCTTACTTTTCGGTAAGTGTAGATTACGATATAATTCAGTTGTGAGGTGGTTTTGTGTAAGTTGATGTTGATTACATGATCTTGCTGTTGAGTTTGACTTTGTGGTGCGGTGTTTTATGAGGCTAGATGCCATTCCCTGAGTGGTCAATGCGTGAAGGATGCAACTTATTCAATCCTGGGGTAGCTATGTAGGTAAAGTGACATCTTCTGCACGTAGGCCGTAGCACTGTTCCAACTTTTCATCTGATAGTGAAAATGTCCCGTGGAAAAGGGGCGTCCACTATCCGATCGTGCCACGTGGGTGCGTCTTCAGCCACCGATTCAGCTACCTCCGAAACCATTTCTGGTGCGATTCGACCTCACTGAGTTTGGAGCCCTTTTCACTTAACTCACCGAGGTTATTCGAAGGTGTGACCTGAACGTCCCAACCGGATCTGCCCGGGGAAAAGGGGCGAGTCCTATGCTCGCTGTGCTGCGCGGCACATTCAGCATCATTTCATATTGCTTAGTGCTTCTGAAGACGGAAATGTATTCAGCAATAGCTTTCTTGCCGCGTGCGACATTTGTAGAATGCGTTCGTGGTTGCTTTCACATCAGGACAAATCTATGAGCCGACGCCAAATTAGTCCGTTGACCTGCGCATTCTCAGCCGCGCTGACTGGAAATGCGTCGTGGTTGGCGGGACCATCATGCCACGTGTGTTCCGCAGCGAGACTGGCACGGCGTGGATGCAGGAGGTGCAGGACGCGCTGCTGGAGAAGTGCGGCGATGACGTGGCCGTGCTGCACATCGCCGTGGACGACCGCAGCACCGAGGGCCTTGTCTACGTCAAGTGCCGCTCGGAAGCCGACGCGCTCACCGCCTTCAAGCGCATCCAGGGCTGCTGGTTCGACGGTGTGTGGCGCTGCGCCCGCGCGGCTGGTCCGTGGTCCTTCAGGCTGGGGGGAGTGGATCAGCTGTCCAGCGCGGCGTGCTCCAGCCCCGCGGGCGGCGCTCTGTCACGTACCGCCGCCGTGCGGAGCGTAAACAATGCCCCGCTCCCGGGAGTGAACAGAACAGACTGAGCGGAGTGAACGGAGGCAGAAGCTGCCTGCTGGTACTCCCTGCTACTCGTTACCTGCTGATGTCCCCTGTCGTCGGGCATTGTCGCCAGGTGGCTGTGCATATCGGGCACAAGGGGATGTGTGTGTGCATGTTATGTCAGCATCAACTGGCATGCCAGCCATGCCGCCCACCCTCGGATCTGGGACGTTACACATCGCGTTGCCGTCATGTCAATGCTACACTCGGACCGCTCCTTGTGTGCCAGTCTCGACTGGTTCCTCGTGTGCTCCCTCCCCCTCCCCCGCTCTCAGTCCTCCCTGTGTCCCCTATGAACATTGTCCAGTGTCCTTTCGACCTGTACCCTATGTGTCCTCGTTGACCGATCTCTACCGACTGTTCTCACTGCTCTACAGCTGGTCGTTGTGTGCTCCGACTGCTCTCATCGCTGTACACTGATCACTCCCTTTGTGTATCACGTTCTGACTGTTGCGAGTCCTTTCGGACTCACCTGTGCGTCCCCGTCACTGTGTCCTGTGCGCTGCCCTCTGATTGCTCCCTGTTTGTTTCCGCTCTGGCTGCTCCCGGTCATCCCGTAACTGTTCCGCGCGTGTCGGTCTCTGACCCCCCGCCCTCCGTGTCCCCCCAGGCCGTTTGGTGTCGGTCAAGTTCATCCGTCTGACGCGGTACCACGAACGGTACCCGGACGCCGTGCGCGCACAGACGCCGCTGCAGCCGTCCAACCCGCTGCGCCGTTCGGTGGCCGGCCTGCAGCAGCCGCAGCCTGAGGACGACTAGGCGGCCGCCCAGCTGGCCGGCGGGCCGGCTCCTCTCTCCGGGGAGTGGCCGCCACGCACCCCATGTTCACCGGCGACTCCGTGCTGGACTCGCCACCCCTCCTCTTCACAAGGGTCCACTTCAGCTGCCCACATATTGTCCATCGATCGGTCCACGCCCCCTGTTGGTCGTCTCTCCTTGAGAGGCATCCCCACACCGGCTGGGCGTCCACCCCGTCATCGGTCGACGCCGTGTCAGCGAGGCCGGTATCTGCCAGCGCCATCCGACTCCCCCATCCCCTCCCCCGCGGCTGTCCACTGCTGTGGGTAAACTCGTCTTATTCCCTGTGCGCCTCGTTGGCGCCTTTCACAACGTTTCGGCCCTTCTGGTACCTCGTGTGGCTCTCCACAGACCCCCGTCCGTGTCCGCTGTGGCCGGCTCGCGGTGGAGCGAGCTTTGACCGGGCGCGCAGCGGGCCAGCGCCCCGTCGCGCCAACTGTACATACGTCACCCGAGTGATGCTACTCCATGATTGATGTGCCTTCCGAAGTGGCGCCGCGTGTTGTGCGGCGCGGCGCGTGCGGTTTTGGTATTTGGTCGCGCGCGGTCCGGCTTGTCTAATGTGTATTGTGTGGGCCGCGGCTGACGGCGGCGTCGCGCCCAGTTCGTCGGTCCGGCCGGACGAACCGCAGCCCCGTTGCGGTGCCGGCCCGGCTCAAGCTGGCCGGGAGACGCGCTGTCTGGCGCCGGTAGATAAGTGGTTCTAGCAGTGGCTTTGGGAGTCCCTCGCACGCCGGATGCGTGCGGTTTTAACACTGATGCGTGAGCAACGTCCTGACGCGGCCGACGGCGCCCGCCGGCAGCTCGCGCGGCTCCACGGCTGGCGGGCCCGCCGCGAGTGCGGCTCCGCCTGACGTCCCGCACCGGGCATCGCGGCGACCTGAGCCCAAGGCTCAGCGGCCGGGAGCCGTGGCCTGAGCGGCCGGGGTCGTGAGCTCCGCCCGGAGTGACCAGTGTTCGGCGGCACGACGGCTCGTGCCGCCGTGCCGGGCTCGGGCCACTCACCTTGCATATGTCAGGCTGTGGACGGTGACTTGGTGTGTGTGTGCGCGCGTGCGTGTGAGAGCGCAGTTCAACAGTACAATGGCGGGGCGAGGGGCGCGCCGCCCGTGTCGGCTCTCGACTGCCACACGCGCTCATCCTGTGCCCTCTGAAGGGCGCGCCACCGGTGTCGGCTCTCGGCTGCCGCACGCGCTCACCGCTTGTCCGCCCCTCGCTGTCGCGCGCCGCTTCTGCTATCAATAATAAACCCCGCCCCCGCAATCGGCGTCTGTGCCGAGCGACCCCAGTCGAGTCGAGTCGAACCGAGCTGAAAGCCGAGCAGAGTCCAGAGCTGAGCCGAGCTGAGCTGACCTGAGAGGCCGAGTTGAGGTGACCAGAGCCCAGGGCCGAGTTGAGCTGAGAATCCAGAGCTGAGCCGAACTGAGGTGACCAGAGAGCCAGAGGCGAGCCGAGCTGGGCCGAGCTGAGAGCCCGGAGCTGAGCCGAGTTGAGGTGACCAGAGAGCCCAGACCCGAGCCGAGCTGAGAGCCCAGAGCCGAGCCGAGTTGAGGTGACCAGAGAGCCCAGAGCCGAGCTGAGCTGAGCTGAGAGCCCAGACCCGAGCTGAGCCGGGCTGAGAGCCCAGAGCCTAGGTGAAAGCTAATAGCCGAGATGAGCCGGCCAGGCGGGATTGTCTGCAGTCCCGCCCCTGCCTGCTCGTTTGCACGCGCGTTTTCAGGTTATCTGGTAGTCTAGGTTACAATGGCATGGGTGCAACGGGCGCCAGAATGCACAGCGCGGCAGACATGTGGCGCAACAATGAGATTGCACATATTTACCTGGACGGCTTGGGAGAATGTGTATGAGAAAATAAGACGTAGGTGGTTAAACTCCGCCATAGGTTTTGAACGTCACGAGCTTCGCGCAGAGCCAGGTGGCTGTCGGAGAAGCTTCATAAAGGAATCAACGGGGAGAGAGAGAGAGAGAGAGAGAGAGAGAGAGAGAGAGAGAGAGAGAGAGAGGAGATAGAGAGCGAG